GCCCCCCCCCCTCCTATTGGCTCCCAGGCCCTCACCCAATCCTGACTCCACTCCCCACTGGTCCAGCCAAGGCTCTGCCTTGACTGAGTTTCCTATATCTCAAGCCGATTCCACACGCATGGCACACTCATCGCCCTCATGATGAATGCAGCAAGGGCTTCTGAAACGTTCATAAACTTCTACCAGATTACACAGTGCTACAACCCAGAAGACAGCCATCTTCTTTCTCCAAGTAAATGCTGGTTACTGAATTGAAAGTGTCATTAAAAAAAACATAAATAACACTCAAATCCAAAATAGGTTAAATAGGTTGTACTTGATGAATAAAATAAGAATGATGCACAGGCATGAAATTTTAGTAAAAATGGTTTCCCAGACAGGAAAAACACACTATGTTATGGACCATATCCACATCAGGATTATTTGTGGCTTATTTAATGATGCTGTCAATAGAACAGATGATACAGGGTTAAAAGATATGAATATATGAGGAATGAATTGGAAAGCATATGGATGGAAACAATCTAATACCAAAACTGAGGCAGTATCTCATCATTAGCTTGGAGGGACCAGAAAATCCATAAAAAAGCCTCAGTCAGAATAGCCATTGTATGGCCTGTGATTTGAACATGAAACCTCCTATTATGAAGCAGGAGTGCTAACCACTCAGAAGTGACATTTGGTCCAATAACTGAACTCTGATACTGTTGGCACCAACTCGGAAACTACTAGTGTCTAAGATGGATAGATGGATCTGCATTTAATACAGTTCCGTGCTACATTTCAGCCCTAAATAAACAGTCCTTCTTCTACAGCAGCTATGCTATTCTAAGCATTTATCTTCTAGCATTGCCTCAGATCTCTTATTGGGTACACCATTTTTGTTCACACTATGAATAAGAGAATTTGTTCGTACCTGGCAAACGTGAGGTTTGTATGCACTATGTGTGAGCATGTGCGTGTTTAGGTATTGCTCAGTGCGGAAGCCCTTGCCACACTGCTGGCAGGTGTAAGACTGTGTTGTCCCATGTGTAGGAAGATGTCTTCGCAGGTAGCGTTCACAGGCAAACACCTTCCCACAGTGTGCGCATGGATAACTGTGAGTACTAATAGCCATGTGATGGTCAAGTGATTCAGGAGATGAGAATCTGCTTTTGCACTTCATACAACGAAAAAATCTGAAAAATAGTCAAATATGTAACAACAATATTAATGATATAAGAAATGTGGAGGCCACATGAACCTGCAAATTAGTGATGCCAGCCATCATCTTTATCTATTATTCATCATTATAACTAATTCCATGGAGCAGAATCCCTTTTCAGAAACTAATATTTGCTCAGCCGGTTTTAGTAGAGAGAATAGAAGTATCCCCCAGCTGTATGTGGTGTCCCAGGTTGAAGCGATGTTCAGCCATGGCAGATTTCTACCATACTACATGGCACAACAACCCAGATATCTTCAAACTAAAAAAGAGTACTAAGAGTTGGCATACCATAGTGAAAGGTGTCTTACTCAAATTCAAATGGAAAATAATAATGCTAGTTCTAATGGAGAACAAAATAAACGGAAGACCCTTTGATAAAAGAGTTCTGTCACCCACAGGCATGTTGAACATGTGTTCCAATGCTGTCACTTAAAAAGAAGTTTGCAAGAGCTTTTACACACCTGCTGCCTACTTTGGGAGGTGCAGCCCTGGTGCTGTGGCTGTACTGATGAATTCCCAGGTCTGCTAATGTGTGGAACTGCTTACTGCAGACATGACATCGATACAACACTTCACTTGAGTGAACTCGTGTGTGACTTACAAATGTGTCCAGGTCAGTAAATGTCTGCTGACAGTTTTTCTGGATACATTTGTAGACCTGCAAGCATATACATATGGAACAACAAACACTTTTTAAAACATGCAGATGTGTTGGTATCTTTAACTTGAATTTAGTATTACAACTGTTAAAATGGATGAGTCCCTAACAACATCTGATTAATAGTTTATTTAGTGATAATGCATATCAACCACAGAGGTTATGTAGCACTACAGATATATAAGATTATCACTGATGTAGAATGTTATTTGTATTCAGACAGTTCATAGTTTGAATGCCCAACAGCAGACTGCCTACCCTGACAGACTTTTCTTTGTTTTCTTCAGTCCTTCCTGATGACTGCTATGGCAGTAGCTACAAATTGGACATTAATATTTCCTCTCCAGTAATTTTCAAATGACCATACATAATTCTTCCCCAGCTAATTTAATGCAAGCTTTGCAGTTACTATGGTGGCATTAATAATAAACAAACAAAAAATGCAATCTACATAAAAGTCAGTTCAATAGCAAGCCAAGAATGTCTCAAGTACTGTACTACAATGTCAGACTGCAGGTTCTCACAATGACAAATATCAAGAAGGCTATCTGCTATAATGCTGTGGTAAATAATCTGGTAGACAGTGACAGGCATTTCAGAAGTGTTTACTATCTACATTATCAGGGCAATCATTGTCCTGATGATGGAGGCAGTAAGCACCTTTGAAACAACACTCAATATCTACTATATTACATGATGCAACATCCCAGAAGACAACCATCTCCATACTATACTATAATGTTTGGCAACACATACTGATCACAGCATTAAATAATTTGTGACAAGCTATTACAGCTAAAGCTTCTTGTATTATCATGCACTCAATATACCAAACAGTTAAATGTCTTTGACATTTAAAACTATACTTACCTATTTTCTAAATCACTGGGAATGTGGGGGATTTGGATAACATATACAGGTAACCCTTGATTTGCGCAACTTCAATTTGTGCCGATTCAGAATACCGCCGCTTTTGAAACCAGCAAGTCAAAAAATGAAAAAAAATATATTTTACTGTTATTTATAACGTTTTACAATGTTTCTCATATTGATTCTTATACTAAATCGTAATTCTTACATCGCTGATTGTGAGATAATCTCCTAAAAATGTGCCAACATTGCGCAACAGTCACGTGAGCATTGGTCACTCTTCACAATGAGCCATTTGCATTCAGCCTGATAAGGGAGTAAGGAAAAATGTGCTCAGTTCGCTTCTTCTTGACACATTGAATGTGCTGAAAACTGTGTGCTCAACGTGTTTGTGTTGTTGTTCGACCACTATTCTGAGGTATCAACTGTTTTATATTTATAAATTGTAGAAGAGCCACCATGTCTGGTAAGAGAAGTGAATGTGTTGCTAAAAAGTTGCGTAGGTCTATTGCGTTAGAAGATAAGATGGACGTAATTCGTAGAATAGAAGATGGTGATACCCATCATAATGTGTGCAGAAGTATGAAGTTGCCTCCTTCCACTGTGACTACCATAATGAAAAATTCATATAAAATGAAACAGTCAATGCAACAGGCTATGAGAGTAAGTGTAATGCAAGTGAGTTATAGCAGAAGTAAACTTTTAGAAAGAATAGAGAACGTACTGTTGCTATGGGTGGATGACATGAATTGAAAAAACATTCCCTTGACTGAAATTGCTATCACAGATAAGGCGAAATCAATTTTTGAGGAACTTAAGTGGTCAATTTTTGGGTGCCAGGAACGCATGTCATTGACTTCCCATTGATTTACATTATAAAAATAGTTTCAATTTATGCTGATTCCATTTACACCGGTTCGTCCAGGAACACATCCCTGGAGTAAATTGAGGGTTACCTGTACTTTGAAAACTGGACTGACAAGTGCCAAGGTAGTCTGGCAAGCAGCTGCCTAAGTTGAAAGAAATAGGCATAAATCACAACAAGATGCCATTCTCAGAGCCACTTAATGAGAGCTTTATTTTTTATATGTAGAACTGAATGACAAATAGCTCACAAAATGCACATACTTAAAGATGCTAATCCCTTTTCCTCAAACAAGGTATGTGTTCTGATGGACTACTATAATGCACAATTTTTCCAATTTCTAGAGGGATGTACTCCATATCTTAGAGGTTGGAGCTCAAACCCCCTTTTGCCCTTACACTCCACTATCTATGTCTTTAAAAAGAGTAACAAATGGTACCCTGGAACGCAAGTATAAGGGTGCCACCCTGGACTTCCCTGACTCATCTACAGCCCTGCACATGATAAAATGCTAAGAGGTGTTATACTATGAACATATGACAGATTTGTGCATGCACATAAAACTTAGGATTTAATTGCAAGGTAGAAAATTATAATCAGTCTCTTATGCTTCTATGTATCAAACTTCCAATACATGGTGGAACCCCATATTTACACTTTTCTGAGGACATGAAAAATGGCATAAATTGCAGGAAATTAAAAAATCATAAGCTTAGTACTTATTTCCACCTTAATCATTTATTATAACAAAACAAATAATGAAGGCAAATTACCAGGAACATTGAACTGATACCATATTTTTGGACACTTACCTATCTTTGTCTAGTGGTAAAAAAGCGAATCAGAATTTGTCTCTTCTCCTGTCACAAGATGTTAGTATAAAGCATGCTGGGTCCAGTGGATAAAACTAATCTCAATATCCAGATAAGCTTCATCCCCTGGGCCCAACAGATCAGGTTCATACACCTTCACCTGATGACAGAAACACTGTGGGCTATTTAACCAACAAATGAAAATGTACAGAAATATTAATCAGTTCAATGACACACCTACACCAAAAAGCTTTAGACTAATGTACAAACATTTATGAAAACAATTTTCAAAAACTGAAAGTATATAATATAGTTCAAAATCATCTGTAAAACGCTATGGAAGTTTACATACAGAATAAGCAGTGTACTTACTTCTTCAAAAAGAAACGTGATATCTTATAACCAACATGCATTTTCTTCAATGATATGATAGTTTTAACTACTTATTCACAACAGACACTAATAAGCCACGTTGTTTTACCATGGAATTACAAGACACCATGGGGGTTATGAAGGGCATGGTTCTTCTTTACTCCTGTATTGCCATCATGCCTTATCAAATACACCAATTCCAATAAAACTGCAGTGCATGTATCAGATTCAGCTAACAGAGTAAGTAATAATAATAACAGCCAAAGCTAACCCAAAAAAGTCACAATCAGAAGCTAAAAGGATGCTTACAATAAGGTAATTAACTCATCAGAGTAGCCACCAGATAATATGAAAAGCTGACCAGTCACAAGAAAATTATGTAAAGCCCAAGAAATTAAAATGTAATTTAATAATTTGTGGGAATACAACCTAATGTAGGAAAATGAACAGGACTGGAAAAGATCATGTAAATTATGGAAAAAAGTACATTCCAGGAACAAGGTTTTGGTGTACTGCATTCCTACCAGATTTCGCTGGTCACAGACCAGAGGAAGAACATGTAAGTTGGCACTGCTTATATTGAGACGAGTTAGTGTTCAGAAGAGTAAGTCCTGGTCCCATGGGGAAAAATAAGAAAAAGACGCATAAAAAGAAAAAGGTTATGCTGCCAAGTTCATCTGCAAGTGTTGCCAGCCATTAGTTCTAGAAGACTGTGCAGTCTACATGCTACTGTCCACAGTAGAAGCAGTTACCTGAAAATTCTTGAAGTTCAACACTCAAAGATCAAAATTTGATTCAAGATCAATATTTTTTCAAATAAATTTTGAAAATATAAGACTCACATATGCCTACTCTTTATAAAACAGGGAAGTAAAGTTTCATATGTTAAAAAATATTAAGGTTTATAGATCGCTGGAACCAGAGGCTATCACATGATGTAATGTACATATTTATTTTTAAGCATCAGTTCAAACAATTCACATAATGACAGGTAATAATCATAACTAAATATAGGTGCAAACAAATTCAACTATTTACAAAATTATATGTTCCAAGAAACACTCCTACCTTCTGATGTGAGTGCAGCTTCATGTGGGTCCTGAGTTCAAAATAGGAGTCAAACCTTGTAGAACAGTACTGGCACACGTAAGCTCGGTCTACCATCAGCTCCACTTCTGAGTTGCTAGGGTTTGAGTCCTACAGAAGACCGTTCAGACAGCTATGAGAAATCAGATCTTTATAACCAGAGTTACATAAAGCTATATATTACTTGCTAGATGCGATTTACTCACCACCCAGTACTGTTAAGGTAATTAGATGGAGAAGGTTGCGACTGGTTAGAGAATCGAAAACACATTCAATGTTTTGGCTGGAAAACCTCATGGAGACCTACACATGGGAGACAAAGGGTAGGAAAACAATGTGTATATGGTAAACATGTATTAGTAACTCAAAGGAACATGTGAGGAAGTGGACTAGTTTCAAATGCTAATGACGCGATCCAATGGCAGACTTTTGTGGTCACACTAGGTGAATCCTTAGTTTATAAAATAACAAATTTTAGTGGACATACAATTTACAAACAAATACTAAGCAAAGCCCATATAAAAATATCAGAAAGAAACAAAACTGAAGAAAACATAAAATATGTAAGTAACCAATGCATAGATTTCCGTATTACTTTGAAAGAAATAACATTCCAATAAGCTGAGCAAAGTATTACCTTATCAGACATTCCTGCAACATCATCTTTCCTGGAAACAGGTTGGAGAGGTTCTTTGGGGAGTGTTTGGTTGAGACCTTGAGGCCAGACTTTGTGTGTAGCCATGTGCTTCTTCACATTAGATTTCTGTGAGAAGGCACGTCCACATACAACACACTGAAAGGGTTTCTCACCCGTGTGGCTCCGCATGTGCTGCTGCATATCAAAGTTCTTGGCAAACTGCTTGCTACAGTACTTACATCTCAACTGTGGGCAAATCAGATGACATGGCATTAAAAGGGATCAACATGTAGTTCAAATAGCTACCACTTATGATGATGGATAATACCTGTGATATCTTCTAAAGTTATAGGTCCTCAAAACCCTGTTCTCCAATTCAAGATACTATTTCAAATGTTTAAACCAAGAACTGCAATGTAATAACACGAGTCCACACACTGATCCTTTAACAGATTTTTTAGTTATTTTCTTTCATGTTTTGATACAGCATAGTACTGAAACAACATAGTAACTCTAGGGTACAAGTGTTAAGTATGGATGAGAAAGAGTGGGTTAAGACCCAACAGTATGGAGAACAGAAATTACCCTTTTAATGGCTGGAGAAAGAAGGAAGTAATGAGGAACTAAGATGAAATACCCTTGTGTCAGATATCACTGATGTGATCACTGTGTAGCAGGACTAGTAGTTATTCAAATATATTCAATATTACTGCTTTTTACTGTAATGTATACACTTACACCTGTAACAAGTGTATCATCTTCATCATATTACTGTATTTATCCAAATACCACACTCTACTGTTTTCTAAAGTTTTACATAAAAACCTCAGATGTACATCATTTTTGAGAATATGACTGTTTATTAAACTGTGCTATGTGTGGCAATTTATTATGTGCTATAATATCCCATGTCTTAAAATGGTAGCTGAAGGACAGACAGAGGGACGTTAGTACAACACGCTCTGCTTATGTTCTGCTCAATACTACCATCCAAAATAACATTTCTCCAGTGCTATGAGCACTGTATCAACTTTGCCAACCCACTGCATAAATCAAGGCAAGCAAAAACCACTATCAAGTAAAGATCCCAAGTGAACTGACATGGTAAGAAATTTTCCAACATCACTCATGAAAGATGTACTGGCCTTTTGGCAAAAGTTTTCCTTTTCTTCCAGAAATAAATAGGGAGTGGGTGTCACTGTCAGTTGTTAACCTTCATTTACAGCGGTTTTTCGATGCTGTTAGAACTACAGTTCTCAGACCAGGAAAAAATCCCTACTAGGAATTTGATATACGTGCAAGCGCAAGATTTCACAGTGAGTGACGAGTTGCTATTACCCATCCTAAAAGCATTTGTTCCACAACCACTGAACAAACAACAGACAACAGGCTTTCATGTGTTCTAATGGGTATAGATTTAAGATTACCTCACAGTGGCACAGTGATTTAATCTAGAATATTATCACAACACCCACAGAACACATTACAGGTGCACTCAATAAACACTACTCTTAACTGCTTAATATTTTCAGTCTGTGTATAGTAGCATAACTCTTTGGCGTGTCACACTTCCCACCAATAGCAGCCCTCTAGTAAACTTGATAATAAACATTCCTCCTGCACAGCACCAGAACTAACTTCCCCCCGCAGGGATTTTCTTGTGGCCAGTGGACAGTCCCTGCACTTACAGCTGTTGGAAGTGAATGAAACAAAGTGACTCTGATCATTTACTGTCTGTGAGAAACTAAAGATAAGTAAACTAAATAGGGAATTGAACTGTTAGCGAGCGAAGTCTCAAGTTTTATGACAGTAGAAGTTATCTACAGAGCAGCAGTCACTGACAAAAGCAACATTTTCAGAGGAGGAACAAAAACTTTCTTCATATTTAAATGCAAAGTAGCAGATTCATTATGCAGTATCAAGAGAAATGTACCAACTGAAGGCACTAGAAATAGCAAGACATTTTAATGAATCCAGAATTCAACACAAGCCAAGGTTGGTTGCAGAGATTGTTTAACTGACAACATTTATGTATAAAACAGCAAAAAAGTACTGCACAGATGTTTCTAATGCATACAAAGAAATACTGTTGGTATTTAAAAGTAATGATAGAGTAGTACAGGACAATGAAGACAAGATCAATTCAGATGGCAGTGAAGCATACCAGTAATTATACAGTCCACGACTGTAATCTTGAGGAAGTGGGGTGAAGGAGGAAGGAGGAAAGATAGCGTCTGCCTTTAACGCTACGGACTTCCTGCATTCCTTGCAAGTCTCAAGATTACAGTCGTGGACTATATAAGTAGAGTATCACATTTTTTATTAATTTTTCATGTTAGTGTGGTTTTATCAGTCATGCATGGTTATGTAGACTTCTAGGATGGGAATAGTCACATTAATAAAATTCATCACTTTTTGGTTTTATTATTAGATCCATTCAATTATTTATCACCATACACACAAATCACTGCCAGCAGAAGTCCACACCACTACTACAGTGTATACCTTAAGAGTTTTGGTTGTTGAAGGTTGAATGTCAGAGCTATCCTCCACCTTTATAGGCTGTGGTGTTTGTGACTCCACCACACTGTTGAGCAAAAGTTCTACATCCCCAGTTGTGGGCTGGGACTGCTGTGTCACAATGGCCTGCGTCTTGAATTCCACAGTGCCTGTCGTGGTGTCTAGGAACTCCAGGTTACTTTCTGCATTGCTGTTAAACTCCACAATCTTGCCACTACCATCACTGAGCTCTGCATCTGGTGGCTGTTCCTGCTGGAAGCTACCTGAAGCTACAAATGACCCCTCAGTAAGAATGATTGGCTGGCCTTCAAGTGTTGTCACGTTGAGGTTACTTCCTGTCTCAACTCCCGAAAGAGATTTCAGTGAACTGCTTGACTCTCCAGAGGAAGTTAGAAATGTTCCAGTCTGGATTACATGTGACAGGGAAGGAAGAACCTGTGAAACACATTTTCAAATTGGGAACTTATAAATGTTTGTGTCACATGCAACATAGGAGAGCCTGTAGAATACATTCTGGAATTATAATTTTCAATGAATACAAATAACCTGTAAAATAAAGATGATCTACACAATTTAATTTCAAAACTGGGTAATTTTCTAATTCAGGCTCCTCTCCTAGTAATTCAAATAAATAAAATCAATTTACTACCAACTTTACAATCTAATACACTGCACTTACTTCAATATCACAAAAAACATTTTGATAAGAATATCAGTGCATACATTGTTTGATTAGTTTTATAATACCTGCATCTTAGTTAACACTGCATATCGGAAGTTGATGCAGTAACAGTGCAGCATACAGCAAAACTAATGTTCATGTAGTACTTACAAACTTGTTCAATTGTATGGGATGTAGATCAGGGGATAATATTAAAATGTATCTTAGGGAAATAGATATGGGGATGTGAATTGGATTCATCAGGCTCAGGATAAGGATCAGTAGCGAGCTCTTGTGAACACAGCAATAAACCTTTAATTCCATAAAAGCAGGGAATTTTTGGACTAGCTTAGCATCCTATTCTTCTTCTTCCACACAACTTCTTAATAAACACTTTGATACTCCATGGAGTTAGTTTGTTGTTTAAAACATATAAATTAAGTGTACCTTATATGCAATTATGAGAAATAGGACCGAGTGTTATGTATTTCACTCCCTTGTGTTCTGTTTGTTTACTATGTAAGATTTGAGGTTTTCACGATGGTGAGTCTAAAGATGGCTGTCTTCTGGGTTGTTGTGCCATGTAGTCTGGTAGATGTTTACTACTTCACATCCATATTCATTTCAACTGTCACACATCTTGTATTGAAGGAAACAAAAACAATATGCAAAATACTGGCAGTAAATTTACTGTTGTGACAAAAATATTTCTTGCAAGTTTTCCCTCTCCATAAATGGAGCACACGCCTTATCTGGAATAATTGATTTAGATTACCAGAATTTGAATATTTCCACAATGGACATTATGTTATATTGGTTAAAAAATTTAGAATATTAAATTCCATTTAAAAACTGAATCTGCACTATGAATACTTCCACCTCAGAAATGGATTTTATCCCCTTGCCTTGCCAGGAAGGTTATCTTAGACCAGACATGAAGGCATTATACACCAACTAATTGTTCCAGCAAAAACAGCTCATAGAAACAATTTCCTACAAGCACATTTTGTTCAGAAAATTGTCTTTTTATTTTGAACAACCATACCACCTTCTACTACAAATTTCAATACATTTTTTAATATTTTGATTAATTTGAATGTTTTCTTGGCTCAAGTTTACTAAAACTGATTTGTAAACTGACAGAACATTAACCAAAGAAGTAATTGATTATAACAGTGAGTGAGTAATAAATTTTGAAAAACCTACAATGTAATCACTGATTCTATAATTTAAGTATAAAGAAAAGTCCAAAATAAGTTATCAAAAAGAAGAACACTTCTGTTCTGTCCAAGATTCTGATGAAGAAAGAATGCAGCAACCAAGATGCATCTAATTGTCAAAAATTCAGTAACCTGCAGAAGTATGAATTTAAATCATCACCTTTGACTGGTCTATCATTTTAGTCATCTGGTGAACAAAGATCCTGCAAGAAGGGCTAATATGAATTCAAACTGGCTGGTGTTAACATAAAAATATAAAAAAACTCAATTATAGTTTGATATGTGGTAGCTATAAGGGTAGCATGAAACAGCCATGAGGCTACAAAGAAATCAGGAGGGACAAGGTCTGGCAACATCAGTAGTGATGCCTGGGGCCTGCCACAACTTAACCAATGATTTACAAAAAAGTCATGTAAATATGTAA